TGTGTGTGTGTGTGTGGTGTGTGTGTGTGTTGTGTTGTGTGTGTTGTGTGTTGTTTTGTGTATGTGTGTGTTGTGTGTTGGTGCTTGTGGTGTTGTGTGTGTGTTGTGTGTGTGTGGTTGGTGTGTTGTGTGTTGTTGTAGTTGTGTGTGTGTGTTGTGCTGTGTAGTTGTTGTTGTGTGTTGTTGTGGTGTGCTGAATGTAGGTTTCTTTTCCGGGGAAACCCCTCAGGGAGAAAACACCGGCTGTTGTTTTGGCCATGCTGTGACTTAAAGTTACTCCGTTCTCCAGCTTGATTAAATGAATGGTCGAAGCTTCAAACTTGTATTTATCATCTTAATTTGCGAAACAAGTTTACTATGCTGAAAGCCTTGGTTTTTGAAATCAGATGAAACAAACTGTAACGGACCCTGCCGTGTTTATCTCATGATTACATTAAAACTCCTTGACAGCCATAATGTCAGCCGGAGGGAGGGGGGGTGGCGTGTGGAACAGCAGATTGCCTGTCATCTTCCCTTTACAAGCTTCAAAAATGTATTTATCGTGTGATTTTGGAAATAAACGTTTCATATTCTGAAAGCCAAGACTTTGTTTGTTTAAAATCAAACGAAACACCCGAACCCCGAAAAAATAGTTTTTTACGCAAATCCACGTTTATTTTGAAATGAGCCGTTGCGACTTCCGACTGATTTCGATAGAGCGGGTCACATGAGCTACAGGGTAGAAATCATATAACCCGAGCTGCTCCAACGATGTATAATAAAATACAAATAGTGCAAGAAGTCTATATACACGTAAATAGAATATGATATGTACCATCTGTGAACATATTGGAAACCAACACATGAGGGCAGTCTGATCAAGATCCACCACTCATAATAAGATATGTGTGTATATATATTAGGGCTGTGCAATTAATCGTATTTTAATCGCGATTACGATTATGGTTTGCGACGATTATGAAAACAGCATAATTGACAAAATACGATTATTTTTGCTGGGTGCGCTTTCGCCCCTCCCTAAAAGCCCACTTGGCCACGTGGGAGTGACATGTGTTGTGAGTGTTCAGCGCGAGCGAAGATGTCAGATCAAGAGCAGCAACTCGTTAAAAAGAAGGGTCAAACTATTTCCACTATTTGGAAGTACTTTGGCTTTCAGGAGTCCGACGTGGAGCAAAACAAAGTACAGTGCAGGATTTGTTACCAGGTTGTGTTGGCACCACACGCCAACACAACCAATCTCTTTAATCAACTGAAATACAACCACAAAGTGCAATACGACCGGGCAGTAATACAACAAAAAGCAGATGCCCGCTCGACTTCATCCACCACATCGTCACAGTCATCGATTCAGGACGCATTGTACAGAGCAACGGCCTACGCGACGAGCTCGCAGAGACACAGAGATATTACAGGTGCCATTACATTCCACATCGCTAAAGATATGTGCCCAGTTAGCACTGTTAGCAACCAGGGCTTTAAGCAACTTTTCAACACGTTGGACAAGCGTTACGCGATGCCGTCTCGGTATTATTTCAGCAGGTCTGTTCTGCCTGCGCTATATGACAAATGCCGTGGGGAAGTTGAGAGAGATGTGGCTTCAGCTGACTACTTTGCTACCACAACAGACCTATGGTCTAGCCCAAGGGTGCCCAACCAGTCGATCGCGAGATGTGTCTAAAAATAGAACAACAATATTCTGTTTTATCGTTAATGTCCTGTAACATAATCTTCCTGTGCCAGAATAATGCACTTGAACGCATCAAAGCTTTGTGATTGGCCGGCGTCACCCCATGTGTCGGGGCGTGGCTGAGGGTCTTCAGTACAGGTGGCAATATCGTCACCTGCCTGCGCTCATCTCTGAAACCAGACCATGTCAACAGCCTGGTGTTTCTTGCGAACAATGTTTAAGAGATGACATGAGCAGCCCTACCAGCATTTGCCATGGTGGCCTAACATTTTTATTTGGTCTTAAATTGTAGTTCAACATTTATTTCCTGTTACTTCTGGACCATGACGGTTGGCCAGCCTTCAACGTTTAACTGAGTGGAATATGTTGAATATGTTTTACCAAAATGTTGGCTATATGTTAAGGAGTGTTCAGTAGGTTGTGACCGTGCACTGCATCATATTTGATTTCATTTATTTTGGTCTAATTTATTTTTATTTATCATATTAATAATATATGTTTAGTATGGTTTTGGAAGTGCGCTCCAACATATTTGATCTTGTTTATTGGTAAAATATTATTTGTTTTAAAGTTCAATAAATGGTCAATGAATAATCGTCAAAATAATCGTGATATCAATTATTGACCCAAATAATCGTGATTATGATTTTTGCCATAATCGCACAGCCCTAATATATATATATATATATATATATATATAAATAATGTTTGTTACATTACATCTCTCTCTCTCTCTTCCTGTCAGCTGGTCTGGGCAGGACGGGCAGTCTGATTGGCTGTTACCTGATGAAGCATTACCGCTTCACAGCATCTGAGGCCATCGCCTGGATCCGGGTTTGCAGACCGGGCTCTGTGATTGGACCTCAGCAGAACTTCCTGGAAGAGTGAGTCCATTGTTATTTAGCCTCCTCTCACAGTCTTCAGAAAGACACAGAGATTTTCACCACTTCCTGTCCCCTGGTCTGGAGGTCAATGGTTTTCCGAACGTGTTTTTTGACTGTTGGCCTGAATGAGACGACTAAACGTCATCACACCCAACATTAGCCTCCTTTAGCTTAGCGGTGGTGACGTGAAGTCATGTGACCGTGCTGTAGTTCCTTTATAGCCCAACATTAGCCACCTTTAGCTTAGCGGTGGTGACGTGAAGTCATGTGACCGTGCTGTAGTTCCTTTATAGCCCAACATTAGCCGCCTTTAGCTTAGCGGTGGTGACGTGAAGTCATGTGACCGTGCTGTAGTTCTTTATAGCCCAACATTAGCCGCCTTTAGCTTAGCAGTGGTGAAGTGAAGTCATGTGACCGTGCTGTAGTTCCTTTATAGCCCAACATTAGCCACCTTTAGCTTAGCGGTGGTGACGTGAAGTCATGTGACCGTGCTGTAGTTCCTTTATAGCCCAACATTAGCCACCTTTAGCTTAGCGGTGGTGACGTGAAGTCATGTGACCGTGCTGTAGTTCCTTTATAGCCCAACATTAGCCACCTTTAGCTTAGCAGTGGTGACGTGAAGTCATGTGACCGTGCTGTAGTTCCATTATTTATTCCAATTATCCCAAATCACATGTATAAATCCCATTGGACCATGGAGATGCTGCCTTCAGGGACCAGCAGAGAAGTACGACATCCCTGCAGCGCTCTCAAGAGTAATAAATGAAGGAAAATGTAGCGTCGTGTAGCTTTTGTAAGATTTGTTTAATGAGCTTAAAGGGAAATGGAAACACTTTTCAAACTGCTTTCCATGCGACAATATTCCCATTAGGAAATGTATTTATCTAGTCTATTTCCAATGTAAACGATCGAGATACGCGAATTTATTTTTTGAAATACGTGCCTAATGACCTTGGGCGCTTCCATCTATCCGGGACTTTCCCAGTGACGTCACTGTGTGGGTACGGCTTCCTGGGCCAAAGCTCAATACAGCTGCAAACAACATGGCGTGCAATGCACCAGTGGTTTACAACAAAAGAAAACGGTCGTCGTCAGGAGCGTATTGTATTGCCCCAGGCTGCACAAATGGTTTTTATAGAAAGAAGGAAGAAGTACATTTCCATAGGCTGCCACTAAAGGATGAGAAGCTGCTCAAAGCATGGGTTATTTCCATGAAACGGTCCGATCCGCCGCTGAATCAGTACGCACGTGTGTGCAGCGAACACTTTACAAATGACGATTATGTCCACAAAATGAGGTTTGATGAGTCTGGATGCTTGGTTCAATACAAAACATCGGATTTGAAGCCAGGATCTGTTCCCACAATATTCGATTTCTCATCGTATGCAGTCGGGAACACCGACCGTCCCAGCACGTCGGCCGCGCAAGACAATGACACCAGTGTCAACAAACGTGAAGTTCGAGCCACCAAACGAGCTGCTTCAGCTGCCGAGAGAGAGGTAAATATTGCAGCACTACCAGATTACTACTACTACTTTCCCGGGTCGCCGAGGGTGCTGGCGTTGTTTGTTCGCCGCTCCTCCGCCCTAAATATGGTTCTTTATTCCAGATCAGAACCTCTCCTGTCTGGCTCTCTACTTTTGAAACGTCAGTCATCAGCAAAAATAGCAGCATCTCTCTATCGAATCGACACAGATCTTTGTGTTGTCATCTCCTACCTGCTGGCTCTTTCCTGCTCACCGGTCCCTAGCCCGCTAGCTAGCTAGCATTATCGGACCTAGCAGGCTGCTACCTAGATGCTCCTCGGCTCCCTGAAGTCTGCTGAGCTAACATTTCTGTCTCCACCTAACTCCACCTGACTCCACCTTAACTCCGCGGCTCGTGTGGGTCTTCCCATCCCGCTGCGATCAGCCGGCTTCCCCGCTGAAAATGAGTATCCGGAATGGATACCCGGAGCGAGGACCCACAGTGACGTCACCATTTGGGACTCCCCTAATGGCAGCGGCCTGGTCCCGGAATTCCCCACCCGGCCGGCGGTTAATCAATTTTCTTTTGGCGAGTAATATCATATACAATAAATATTACGATCAATATCCCTTGTAAAATGAATAAACTACCGGAATATTATAGCTGTAATGGTGTTTCCTTTCCCCTTTAAACAGTTGACAATAACAGTTGTTATTATAAACCTGGGAAAGGTGAAGATCCCGGTGTGTGTCGGCTGCGTCCGGCAGTTAACATGTGTTTGGACCTGGTTCCTTCAGCTCTACTGGGTCACATTATCTTCACCAGAACATTCCCACTGTAGTGCCAGTCCCCTCCGTAAAACAAAAGGTTAACAGACAATCGTGTTCAGAGTTCACCCAGAAACCCTCAGTGTGCTGACACAAGAGTGTGTGTGCTGGGTGTTATCTGTGTGTGTGTGTGTGTGTGTGTGTACTGGGTGTGTCTGCCAATCTGTGTGTTTGTGTTGGCCTCCAGGCCTCAGAGTGGGCAGATTTAATCTCAGATGTAAACACATTTAACAGAAACCAGGCTGCTGGCTGCGAGTGTGTGAATGTGCTGACACACACACTCACACAGACACACACACACACTCACACTGCTGCTGTGGTAAAAACCTGGGTACGTGTACTTTTATAATTAAGTAGTTTAGTATTTTGTAGGTGTTCAGAAGCAGAAAGATTACATTAGCGGTGTAAAGACTCAATAATACCGTCTTTATATATTTATTTATTTACAGTTACATTTTGTGTGTGTGTTTGCAGGAAGCAAGCATCAATGTGGTTGCTAGGTGACAGCCAGCGTTCCCAGAAGGCTAAACTGGAGGAGAGGGCGACGTCTCGCCTCATCAGCAGCATGGACGACCTCTCCCTGAACCCCCCCCACAGCAACCTGCACGAGGTCACACACACACACACACACACACACACACACACACACACACACACAGAGATAGACACAGACACACACATAATAATAATAATACATTTAATTTATATAGCACACTTTCAAAACAACGTCATCTCAAGGTGCTGCACAATGCTATGAAGAGAAAATAATATAACATAGTCCCAAAGACAGACACACAAACACACACACACACACACACACACACACTACACACCTCTGTAATCTACATAATTTCTATGTCTGCTGTCGGTGTCTCATGGTGTGTTTGTTTCGTCCTGCAGAGCGAGACGGTGGACGTGGGTCCGGGTCTGACTCAGGGAGACAAACTGAGAGCCTTAAAGAACCGCCGGTCCCCCCGACCCGCCACCGCCGGGGCCCTCAGGTAGGGCTGGGCGATTTGGCCTAAAAATAAAATCGGGATTTTTTTTCCTAACTAATGGACAATTTTCGATTTAAACCTCGATTCTTTTCTGTTTTTTTCTAAACAAACCAGACCAAGGCAAAATGTAAACACATATTTTCTTTGCAAAAAATGCGCAAAAAGGAGGGTTTCTGCCCCATTACTTCTCTTCTTACTTCTATAAGAATAAAACACGGTGAGGTGTAAAATGTGTTTTAATATCATAAATGTTACGCATACCGTCAGTTTAAATGCTGTTTTATACTGGAAAACTAGAAGTTCTTGTCCACAACCAGTTTTATTCTGAAAATCCTTCATCTCCGGACGGTTAGCATTTAGCATGTGGCTAATATACCATTTACTATAGAGGTGAATTTAGTAGCGATATGACACGGAGTGTTGCACACCGAAACCTACTGATTTCAACACTAACTATAGACGTGGAGATATTATTATTGCTGAATATTAAATGAAGGTACAGTTTATTTGAATACGTTTGTTTACAGACGTGGGTAGTAGTATGAGACAACATCCGGAACTACTGTAAATGAAACCAGCCGTGAAGTATTTCCTGTATTTTTGGAGTATTGATTACAGCGTTTAAAATGTATTAAATGAAAAGTCATGAAAGAGATAAGGAGGAGAACAGGCGTGTTTAGTTATATATTGAATGTACAATGTCGGAGTCCTCTGTTATGCTCAACAACGAACATTGGAGACGTGGAGGGCCGGCCCCCAGCAGCGCCAACCGGCCCACAGCGAGCCAGCGGAGGAGATATATCAGCTGGAGAGGTGGAGCTCGCTCTCTTCCCTTCGCTCACGAGAGCTTTTTTAATTAAAGCACCATTTGAACCTTCTCAGAGACTCCATTTAGTCTCCTTTTAAAGCTTCTCTCCTGGACGCGAGAATAACGAACACAGCATAACAACAGCAGATCGGGCAGAGCTGCAGATCGGGTTGTCACAGGCAATGTGGCTGAGTTTTGGGCGCGTTCTGGAAAGTGAGAGAGTAAGCTACTACGGAGTCCCTTAAAGCAAAAACAAATCTGCGGAGTCTAGAAATGTTTTTAAATCGCGATTTTTTTTTTTTGGTTCAGCCATTTCACAAACCGTAGGAAAGTAAAAATGCAAATTAATCGTGAAAACCGAAAAAATCGCCCAGCCCTACCCTCAGGTACCAGAACCAGAACCTCCTGTGTTAGCCAGCATGTGTCTCTCACTGAAACTGTGTGTGTGTGGTGATGATGTGCAGTAACAGAGTGTTTTCTCTCAGGGTGGAAGAGATGAAGATCCACAGCAGGTCGGCCTCGCAGCCTCTCAGGTAAATCCTGTGTTATTTAGCCCTCAGTCTGGACTGACAGGAGACAGAAAACACTGAACACTTTAACCAAAGAAACTTATGATGAACTGAGTTATACATTTATTATAAAAATGTTAAGATAAGATAAAACTTTATTTATCCCCGTGGGGAAATTCAGGCGTTTATAGCAGCAACAGGTCAGAGTTAAAAAAAACAAAACAGGATTCACACGGGGTACAAATACAGACAAAATATAAAATTACTATAATAATACAAAATGTTTTTAAAATAAAGTGATAAAGTAACTGAAACAAATATGACTAATTATCTATTGTAATGCTGTAATGCTTCACCTTAATGAAAATAGTGGAGGTGACTCTCCCTGTGATAATGAGTAATTATGGTGTGTGTGTGTGTGTAGATTGTCGATGGGCGGTGGTCAGGGACCTGCTTCCCCCCTCAAGTCCTCCAAGTTCCCATCATCCTCTACTTCTGCCGCCGCCAAGAGGATCGGGAGAAGTTCGTCGACTACGGTGTCCAACATCAGGAGGTCAGTGTCGCGCCCACTTCCTGTCTCACTCAGTATACTATGTAAATATATTTTAATGTATAACCGATTAAAGAGTAGCTGCCTGTTGCGAGGTCAACACAGATTGAAATGAGTGTGTGCCAGGTTCAGGTTAAAGATGGATATGTTTTAACACGTGTTTGTGTGCATGCTGCTGCCTCAGCTGTCCTCAAATATAAGTATAGAGATGTTGAAACGAGTATCATATTAAAGTCAGAGCCTAGGTGTTGTGACTTCAGAAATAGCCGGAGAGTTTAGGGAGGAAGCTTTTTAGAATCTGACATGAAATAAACGAGTCATGCTCTCAAGTGGGAAACTTCACTCTTAAATAAAAGATTAGGGTATTTGGATATATAGAAAAAGCTGAGCAGCTCGTCACTGCAGTGAGACTAAGAGCAGGCTGCAGCCTTTCCTCACACTGACGGCCCGTCTACACTACAGGCATCAAAAAATCTTGAAGCTGGGCGTGTCTGAGGCTTGGCGATTTCTCGCGACCAACAACTAATCAGGAATCTCCCGCCCCCGGCATACAAAGCAATAGCAATGTTAAAACGAAGTAAACTGGATATAAAATCCCCAAACAGGCGAAAACCTACCAGTTTCACCCACTGTCTCTGCCACCTCCCTCCATGCCTCGCTCCTCCGGTTTGTATCCCGGTAGATGAACAGAGACTGATCATACAGCACCGGGTGATTCACTACCGCTACAATGAATTTTCCCTCCATTTTTTTGAATATGAGGAAATGACCTGCGTAGTCTCTCCCAGCATACACGCGGTTTGATTGGCTAGCGCTTGTACTGTCAGATTTGCATACGCGGGATTTGATTGGCTGATGCCAAGCATCGCGCCTCAAAAGTTGAACATTGTTCAACTTTTGATGCCGATAGATGCTCGTGATGCTTGCAAAGCCATGCCATGCTCCCCACAATGCAGTTCGGCGAAGTTTAAAAATCTTCTACGTCACCCCATTCAAATGAATGGGCGAAGCGTTGAAAGCATTTTTCGATTCCTGTAGTGTAGACGGGCCGTTACAGTAACGTTAGCCACACACACACACACACACACACACACACACACACACACACACACACACACACACACAGAGCATGCTGCAGCCTTTCCTCACACTGACGGTAACGTTAGCAACACAGACACAAACACACACACACACACACACACACACACACACAGCATGCTGCAGCCTTTCCTCACACTGACAGTAACGTTAGCAGCACACACACTTCTGACCCCACAGCTATACTAACAGATCGAGTGGAGACACTGTGTCCACGACAACGAGCATGCTGTTGGTGTGTGTGTGTTGTGTTACATTGTGTGTTGTGTTACATTGTGTGTGTGTTGCAGCTCTCGGTTGGCCTCCTCTCTCAGCGATCTTTACTCCGACCTGGATGACTCCTCCTCCCCTTCCTCCCCCTCTGGGTCTCTCGGCCCCTCCCCCTCCCACATGGCCCCTCCTCCCTCTCTGGGTCGCTATGGTAACGGGGTTCGCGGTGCACATCTCGAGGTGAACAACAACAGCGTTGAAGGCCGGCCTCAGGACCCCTACAGGGTCTCCCACGGCGCTCTGCAGGGGCCGGCAGGACGCTACCTGAGCCGCTCCATACCTGTGAGTCAGCAGCAGCAGCTCATACACTCTGACATCACACACACACCTGGAAATCACACGGCAGGATGATGACAATATGAGGAGTAAAACTATTAGCAATGTACAATGAAAACAGAAATAAGTGTGTGGTAGACAGTCCTCTAAAATATGTAAACAGGAAATAGTAAACACACAATAATAAGAAGGAATACATTTATTTATTTTAGGTTTAGACGGTTGAAAATAAGTTTCTGTTGCTTTTAACCCTTAGATGCACAAGTGGGTCTTCTTGGACCCGGTGAGGTGGTTTTCTTGAAGTATCTTTGTAATTACATTTTTTTATCATTTCATATTCCAGCTATTCCTCAAAAAACATGTTTTGGATATCAGGCCATTCACATTTAAATTTTAAATTTTAAGAAATTGTAGTTTTTGTATTTCTACCCCAAGCTTCATTAAGTGGGTCAAAAATGACCCGCATGCATTTCCTCTGGGAACCTTTGATTCTTATCAGCTGTTGCTGTCAGGATTACATTCACTGTAGACCACACAGACGACATCACACGTGACACCTCTCAGGAAGATTACTTTACACGGCAAGATCAGAAACCTGTCAGTATCATAATAATAATACATTATCTTTGTATAGGGCTTTTCAAGGACTCAACATCGCTTTACAATATAAGGGAAGGTTAGGGTGGGGGGTGTAGGACTATCAGACTTGATCAACCGGCATGGATTGATGGGGGGGGGGGGGGGCGGGGCTATGAGTAGACCAGAGGAGAAGAGATGAGTTTTGAAAAGCGACTGGAATACTGTGAGGGTCTCAGAAAAGCGGAGATCTTTGCATCGATATGTTCAAAACGTTTTTTTTCAAAATGTAATTTTTTTTTCTAAAATTATAAATACTGAAAAGTTATATATAAAATATTTCTAATGTGAACCAAAATATAATACTAAATATTATTTTTTTTAACCAAAATGACAAACATGGCACAGAAACACATATTATTCTAATACGGGTCCTTTTTGACCCACTTATGGAGGAGTGCAGGGTCCAGCCACTCTAAGGGCATCTAAGGGTTAAATAAACCTAATGTTTCCTTAGAAGAAGGGCAACAGCACGTTAGCTTAGCTTAGCATAAAGACTGGAAACGGGGGGAAACTGCTAGCCTGGCTGACTGCAGAGAAACAACCTCCACACCTCTTACAGCCTGAAGAGTTTAAATATTCCTTTAAATAAAAGACAGAGATTGTGAATGAAATGTGTTGATAAAAAAACATTTTGTAATCCGTTATATTCTGTGAAGTTACTCACTGTCATGTTTCAGAGAATCATTGTTCTCGGGCTTCTTTTAAATATGAAGAAGAAGAGAAAACATAAATTAGGTATAACACATTTGAAGATAGCGGTCATACTGTGTGAACCTCCGGTGTGTGTGTGATCTCCTCTCTGCTGGTTCTCGAACTCTTTCCATGCCATGGACACAGACTCACTCCAGCTGTGACTCTGTCTTCATCGATCTGTTAAAGAACTCACACTAACCCTTCTGCCTCGTTACTACGGCTTTCATTTGGTCTCTGTAAACTAATATAAATATAATAATTGAGAGTAAGATATGTTCCAATTATAAACTCAATTTTGTAAAATGCTGCTTTCTGTTATATCAGATTTATTATTTATTATAATTTGAAAAAACCCTCCGAGCATTTAGTTTTTATTTAAAGGGGTTCCCTCTCCTGTGGTGTGCTCTATAGGTGTTAGTGGATGTAAATGGTCTGCAGAGGCTAAAATCCCTGTCCCCCCCCCCCAACCTGAAACACCTCCATTGGACTCCTTCGTTTACTTCCAGGATATAGTGACATCACTATGAAACACTCTTGGCTCCTATTGGATAGGGCTCCAACACTTTGATAGGCTAAGGGGCGGGACATCGCTAAGCTGGTTGACCAATCAGAAGAGAACTGACCAGCTAACCAATCAGAGCACACTGGGCTCTGGTTTCAGACAGAGGGTGAAAAGAGGTGCTGCCACACAGACAGCATGAGAACAATAAAGAGCTTTAGAACATTAAAGCATGGAGACACTACATACTGATATACACCTGAACATCAGCAGGAGAGGACTCTTTAAAGTAGAGACACTACATACTGATATACACCTGAACATCAGCAGGAGAGGACTCTTTAAAGTAGAGACACTACATACTGATATACACCTGAACATCAGCAGGAGAGGACTCTTTAAAGTAGAAACACTACATACTGATATACACCTGAACATCAGCAGGAGAGGACTCTTTAAAGTAGAGACACTACATACTGATATACACCTGAACATCAGCAGGAGAGGACTCTTTAAAGTAGAGACACTACACACTGATATACACCTGAACATCAGCAGGAGAGGACTCTTTAAAGTAGAGACACTACATACTGATATACACCTGAACATCAGCAGGAGAGGACTCTTTAAAGTAGAGACACTACATACTGATATACACCTGAACATCAGCAGGAGAGGACTCTTTAAAGTAGAGACACTACATACTGATATACACCTGAACATCAGCAGGAGAGGACTCTTTAAAGTAGAGACACTACAATACTGATATACACCTGAACATCAGCAGGAGAGGACTCTTTAAAGTAGAGACACTACATACTGATATACACCTGAACATCAGCAGGAGAGGACTCTTTAAAGTAGAGACACTACATACTGATATACACCTGAACATCAGCAGGAGAGGACTCTTTAAAGTAGAGACACTACATACTGATATACACCTGAACATCAGCATGGAGAGGACTCTTTAAAGTAGAGACACTACATACTGATATACACCTGAACATCAGCAGGAGAGGACTCTTTAAAGTAGAGGACACTACATACTGATATACACCTGAACATCAGCAGGAGAGGACTCTTTAAAGTAGCTAGGACACTACATACTGATATACACCTGAACATCAGCAGGAGAGGACTCTTTAAAGTAGAGACACTACATACTGATATACACCTGAACATCAGCAGGAGAGGACTCTTTAAAGTAGAGACACTACATACTGATATACACCTGAACATCAGCAGGAGAGGACTCTTTAAAGTAGAGACACTACATACTGATATACACCTGAACATCAGCAGGAGAGGACTCTTTAAAGTAGAGACTCCTACATACTGATATACACCTGAACATCAGCAGGAGAGGACTCTTTAAAGTAGAGACACTACATACTGATATACACCTGAACATCAGCAGAGAGGACTCTTTAAAGTAGAGACACTACATACTGATATACACCTGAACATCAGCAGGAGAGGACTCTTTAAAGTAGAGACCTACATGACTGATATACCACTGAACATCAGCAGGAGAGGACTCTTTAAAGTAGAGACACTACATACTGATATACACCTGAACATCAGCAGGAGAGGACTCTTTAAAGTAGAGACACTACATACTTGATATACACCTGAAACATCAGCAGGAGAGGACTCTTTTAAAGTAGAGACTCTACATGCTGATATACACCTGAACATCAGCAGGAGAGGACTCTTTAAAGTAGAGACTCTACATTCTGATATACACCTGAACATTAGCAGAGGAGGACTCTTTAAAGTAGAGACACTACATACTGATATACACCCTGAACACCTTACAGCAGCGAGAGCGATCCCATCTTTAAAGTAGAGCACTACATGCATGATATACACCTGAACATCAGCACGAGAGGACTCTTTAAAGCAGAGGACACTACATACTGATATACACCTGAACATCAGCAGGAGAGGACTCTTTAAAGTAGAGACACTACATACTGATATACACCTGAACATCAGCAGAGGAGAGGACTCTTTAAAGTAGAGACACTACATACTGATATACACCTGAACATTAGCAGAGGAGGACTCTTTAAAGTAGAGACACTACATACTGATATACACCTGAACATTAGCAGAGGAGGACTCTTTAAAGTAGAGACACTACATACTGACATACACCTGAACATTAGCAGAGGAGGACTCTTTAAAGTAGAGACACTACATACTGATATACACCTGAACATCAGCAGGAGAGGACTCTTTAAAGTAGAGACACTACATACTGATATACACCTGAACATCAGCAGGAGAGGACTCTTTAAAGTAGAGACACTACATACTGATATACACCTGAACACAGCAGGATAGGACTCTTTAAAGTTGAGACACTACTACTGATACACACCTGAACATCAGCAGGAGAGGACTCTTTAAGTGAGACACTACACCTGATATACACCTGAACATCAGCAGAGAGGACTCTTTAAAGTAGAGACACTACATCTGATATACACCTGAACATCAGCAGGAGAGGACTCTTTAAAGTAGAGACACTACATACTGATATACAACCTGAACATCAGCAGGAGAGACTCTTTAAAGTAGAGACACTACATACTGATATACACCTGAACATCAGAAGAGAAGGACTCTTTAAGTAGAGACACTACATGCTGATATACACCTGAACATCAGCAGGGAGAGGGACTCTTTAAAGTAGAGACACTACATACTGATATACACCTGAACATCAGCAGGAGAGGGACTCTTTAAAAGTAGAGACACTACATACTGATATACACCTGAACATCAGCAGGAGAGGACTTATAGACTTTTTTGAAAGTGATGACTGACCTCTACATGCTGATATACACCTGAACATCAGCAGGAGAGGACTCTTTAAAGTAGAGACTCTACATGCTGATATACACCTGAACATCAGCAGGAGAGGACTCTTTAAAGTAGAGACACTACATACTGATATACACCTGAACATCAGCAGGAGAGGACTCTTTAAAGTAGAGACACTACATACTGATATACACCTGAACATCAGCAGGAGAGGACTCTTTAAAGTAGAGACACTACATACTGATATACACCTGAACATCAGCAGGAGAGGACTCTTTAAAGTAGAGACACTACATACTGATATACACCTGAACATCAGCAGGAGAGGACTCTTTAAAGTAGAGACACTACATGCTGATATACACCTGAACATCAGCAGGAGAGGACTCTTTAAAGTAGAGACACTACATACTGATATACACCTGAACATCAGCAGGAGAGGACTCTTTAAAGTAGAGACTCTACATGCTGATATACACCTGAACATCAGCAGGAGAAGACTCTTTAAAGTAGAGACACTACATACTGATATACACCTGAACATCAGCAGGAGAGGACTCTTTAAAGTAGAGACTCTACATGCTGATATACACCTGAACATTAGCAGAGGAGGACTCTTTAAAGTAGAGACACTACATACTGATATACACCTGAACATCAGCAGGAGAGGACTCTTTAAAGTAGAGACACTACATGCTGATATACACCTGAACATTAGCAGAGGAGGACTCTTTAAAGTAGAGACACTACATACTGATATACACCTGAACATCAGCAGGAGAGGACTCTTTAAAGTAGAGACACTACATACTGATATACACCTGAACATCAGCAGGAGAGGACTCTTTAAAGTAGAGACACTACATACTGATATACACCTGAACATCAGCAGGAGAGGACTCTTTAAAGTAGAGACACTACACACTGATGAGCAGGAGAGGACTCTTTAAAACAACAGTGGCATTATTAAAAGAAACTGGCATTGAAAGAGTTTAAACTCTAGAAATGTTTAATATTCGGTAGTTATGATCTGGACTGAAGTTAGGTAACAGATTTAAAAAGGGAAGCATATTTGTATAACATATTTTCATGGCAGTTTTGTAAAGAAATGTTTTGTCCTTTTTTTTATTGAGGCACGAGGGTTAACTGAATCTTTCACATTGAACTGTCTGCTTTTGTATTTCATGTAATCTCACGTTAAACCTGATCCAACGGTGATTTTTAAGTTTCACGTTAACTTCACTAACATGAAGCTGCTGCTGACGTTAATCATGATTACTATTATAATCCTCCTTCCCCTCCTCTGAAGAAACAACAGGAAGCTTCGGTCACACTCCGATGCATGCAGACACGATGAACCACAGGTCTTCTCTGATGTCCTGTGTTCTCATATCCCTCATTCCACTTGACTGCATTTATTTAAAAACTACAGAACATTTTGTTTTTTAAAGAGATGTCCGAAGTGCACATCAGTCAAAGAGAGCCGATTATTCAAAATACAAAAACGTATGAAATATTCTAAAAGTATTTACTAAACTCTGAGTAGTCGTATTATATATTAGTATTTATCAAATGGAAAGCACAACAAATAATTTCCTTTCCAATCGGTTTGATATTTTTTTACTCTTTTAATCACTTTATTAAGCCCCTCCCACTTCGGAACCCCTCGACCAATCAGCAGCGATACTTTATAACTCTTTGCCCGAGAAGTCGTAGCAAAGCGTTGATCGAGACGACGCTGCAAGATAACATCTCGATTCTGACAGGAAACAGGAAGCTGCAAACTGATTTCAGGATGAAGGGGAAGTGTGCAGCGCCCCCTGCTGCTCAACATTATGTGATGTTTTATTTGTTATGTTTTAATGATTTTAAAAACACAGTGGCCGTTTCTCAATTGCAAGTAAAACTGCTGCAGAGCAACTATTTCAAGTATACTACGTCATCGAGTGGCGCCGAAGGACTGTTTAAATGCCCAGCATTCGGCGCCACTTGATATAGTGGCTCTGCGGCAGGTGTACTCGACATTGAGAAACGGCCTGTGTGCTGTCCCAGAGACGACCTCTGACCCTGCCCTTTGTGTTTTCCTACAGTCTCTTCAGTCTGACTACATCCAGTACTAAAACGACACGTCTCACCTGAGGACTCATTACCCACAACCCCCTCTGTGTGGGGCACGCTCAAAGGGAAGCTAATAAAGCAGCTCAGAGACTGAAGAGACTCAACAGCAGCTGTGATCACTGTACGCTAATGAGTAGCATGCTAATAAGGGGCACGCTAAGTAGCGGTATGTAAATGAGCAATATGCTAACTAGCGACATGCTAATGGGTGTCTGTAAATATGATGTAATCTACACGCGTGTTTTTGGCTGAAGAAGATATATTTAGATAAGACAGATTTTATATTTCTTATTTGTGACAGAAGAAGATATTTTTGTTTCTTTTGATAAAGCGAAGGATCAGCTGACGGCGACCCTCCGTCGCCATAGTTACAGTGTTTACTTCCTGCCTCTACAGCAATAATAACAATAATAACAATAACGGTAGAAGAACAATAAGGGACCCAAAAGCTGACCGTAAGTAACCTAACTCAGGAAAACAGAGTGTGTGTGTGTGTGTGTGTGTGTGTGTGTGTGTGTGTGTGTGTGTGTGTGTGTCTCTCAGTGTGTGTGTGTCTCTCAGTGTGTGTGTCTCAGTGTGTGTGTCTCAGTGTGTGTGTCTCAGTGTGTGTGTCTCAGTGTGTGTGTCTCAGCCTTAAGAAGCTTCTGATTTTTTGATTTTGAAACGAACAGCAGAAACTAAATGAATTCACTTGAGAAAAATGCGTGTTCCTCACTTGGAACTTGGTCAGACGATGCCTTCAGGCTCCGCGATGCCTTCAGGCTCCTCCGTGATGCCTTCAGGCTCCGCGATGCCTTCAGGCTCCGCACTGACTCCTTCGCTTCTTTTAGATTTTTAAGGTATCTCCTTAAATCAGTATTACAGAACAAAGATTTATATTTTTCTCAAGTGAATGTATTCCCCTTCTGAAGACATCTGAGGGTTTTCAATATTTCTGTTGGTTTTGTTTTATTCTTTATTTTATTATAATTTTTTGTTTTATTTTCAATTGTTTTGTTTTATTTTATTTTCCATCCTCTAGTTAAGGTTTAGTCCCCGGTTCAAACAGCTGATCGATCAGTTAATGAAACCTGAAGCTCAGTTCAGGTCAACAACAAGACAGACACAGGACCGAGAAAATATATACAATTAAAGGTCCCACGTCATGCTTCTCTGGTTCTGACCCGTCCCCTCGTGTGTTATGAAGGTTGTTCCAACAAGCCGTGTAGGACAGAGAGTGAATACACAGACTATACAGAGATGCTGTGAGAAACCAATGAGAGTTTGGAACATTGAACAATGTAAATCTATTCTAGTCGACCTCAACTATGGAACTATGATCAGTAGAAATGGCCATGGGACCTTTAATATTATAATTTATATTCACTGCAAACTGAAGACACGTATTTAAAACTTTTAACTTTTTAATTTCCTAAAAATAATGATTTAATGATTGAATGAAGAGAGCGTCCCTTATTGAGGACGATGAAGCAAACAATCGAGATATAATAAAACAAGATGAAAAAGCTATGATTTGAACATGAATTTAAAAATGTTTTTATTTGAAGTATTTTTTTCTTAAGAGTTCCATTAATGAACTAATAATAACATTTTACACTTTTAAATGTCTTGACAAATAAATAACAAATATCATTAATGTTCGTTTTTTTTACTTAAACACTTGAAATGTGCAATAACTGATAAATAATATAACTATGAATCAGTATGAGCAGGTTAACGTAAAAAAACTGATTTTTATAAACATTATTTTGTTTTGTTTTTGATCATGTGACGCCGGCTCATTCAGAAATATTTGAATCCTTGGTTGTGTTTCTGTCAGCTGATTGGCTGTCCCATCACCAGCTGACTGCTCTGAGGGCTCTGATTGGCTGAGAGGTGGATGTTGAATGTGTGTTTGTTCAGATGGAGGTCAGGAAATATTTTCATATATCACATAATTCAAGACATTCAGGAGGAATGAGATGTGCGTTTCTTTAAAGGGAAGTGTGTGTGTGTGTGTGTGTGTGTGTGTGTGTGTGTGTGTGTGTGTTTCTTTAAAGGGAAGTGTGTGTGTGTGTTTCTTTAAAGGGAAGTGTGTGTGTGTGTTTCTTTAAAGGGAAGTGTGTGTGTTTCTTTAAAGGGAAGTGTGTGTGTGTGTTTCTTTAAAGGGAAGTGTGTGTGTGTGTTTCTTTAAAGGGAAGTGTGTGTGTGTGTGTGTGTTTCTTTAAAGGGAAGTGTGTGTGTGTGTGTTTCTTTAAAGGGAAGTGTGTGTGTGTGTGTGTTTCTTTAAAGGGAAGTGTGTGTGTGTGTGTTTCTTTAAAGGGAAGTGTGTGTGTGCGTTTCTTTCTTTAAAGGGAAGTGTGTGTGTGTGTGTTTCTTTAAAGGGAAGTGTGTGTGTGTGTGTGTGTGTGTTTCTTTAAAGGGAAGTGTGTGTGTGTGTGTGTGTGTTTCTTTAAAGGGAAGTGTGTGTGTATTCCTTTAAAGGGAAGTGTGTGTGTGTGTGTGTGTGTATTCCTTTAAAGGGAAGTGTGTGTGTTTCTTTAAAGGGAAGTGTGTGTGTGTGTGTGTGTGTGTGTGTGTGTGTGTGTGTGTGTTTTCTTTAAAGGGAAGTGTGTGTGTGTTTCTTTAAAGGGAAGTGTGTGTGTGTGTTTCTTTAAAGGGAAGTGTGTGTGTGTTTCTTTAAAGGGAAGTGTGTGTGTGTGTTTCTTTAAAGGGGTGTGTGTGTGTGTGTTTCTTTAAAGGGAAGTGTGTGTGTGTTTCTTTAAAGGGAAGTGTGTGTGTTTCTTTAAAGGGAAGTGTGTGTGTGTGTGTGTTTCTTTAAAGGGAAGTGTGTGTGTGTGTGTGTTTCTTTAAAGGGAAGTGTGTGTGTGTTTCTTTAAAGGGAAGTGTGTGTGTTTCTTTAAAGGGGTGTGTGTGTGTGTGTGTGTGTTTCTTTAAAGGGAAGTGTGTGTTTCTTTAAAGGGAAGTGTGTGTGTGTGTGTGTTTCTTTAAAGGGAAGTGTGTGTGTGTTTCTTTAAAGGGAAGTGTGTGTGTGTTTCTTTAAAGGGAAGTGTGTGTTCATCAGCTGGTTGATATGTATATCAAAGGTTTCTCTGAAGTGCCTTCAACAGCAGAAGGCTTTTATTTTGAAATGCCCCCCCCCGTCCTGATTGGCTGTTTGACTTGATCCTGTTGTATTGTAATGTTTCAGTATTTTACTAAAGGGAAAAGTTAGAAAATAACTTTAAAATAAACTAATTATTCTTCTGATGCCGTTTCCTGTTTTATATTTGAGTCACAATTCATTTACTAAACTTAAAGGGGACCTATCGTGCAAAATGCACTTTCTGATGTCTCTCTACATCAACGTGTGTCCCCGGTGTGTCGGGGAACTCACGCAGCGTCAGGAAATAAACCCTCTCTCTTTTCCTCCGTACCCAAATCTCTAAAAACGGGGAACAACGGAGCTGATCCAGATTTGTGTCCGATATGACGTAATATCTGAAATGTGGACCCACGGCCCAATCAGAAACGTTGCCATCAGAAACAATGCCCGACTGTTTTGGACGTAATATGGTCGGTGTTTACATTAGCATCGCTAACACTCAGAGCTAACCTGTACTGGAGAGCATGTGTGTGAAGAAGCAGGAAGTAAAAAGGAACTCACCTTGTGGTATAACCGGCAAGAGAGAAAGCCTTTGAGCTCCAGACTGTTTCAGAGAGAATCCTTGATAATCCATGATATGGAATTTCATCACGGCAGCATTTAGTTTAGACAGTAGCTGCCGGGTCCCGCATGAGCTCAGACCCCTCCTCTTTAAAGCTTTATACCCAGATCAGCACTTTAGAAACAGGAAGTGGAATAGAGGGATATGAGGCGTGGCTAGAATGATCTGTTTGGTGTTTGGAGCAAAACACTTCATAGACATGTTTTTATATATTTGTATATATCTGAGACCTGTGCTATTGCCTAGAAATAACACGATAGGTGACCTTTTTAAAAGATTTAATTAATAAAGTTTAAGATTCTCAAAAGATACAAAACTCTTGAAGTATTGCAATATAAAAAACGTTATTTAAATATAAAGTAAATGCAGATTATTCGCTCAGCGTCTGCAGACGGGGAAAGTGAGTTTTGTCACATGACTAGACGTCAGACACTGAAGATCGATCAGGAAATCGGTTCATCTGAAACCACTTCAAAGGGACTTCAGATCCTTTGAAGTGGTTTTAATAACATTTGAAATAATAATACATTTTTATCACAAGTCAAAAATGATTATAATTTGAATTATGCATACTGGCAGAATGTGTTTTTGTTTATGAATAAATTGTAATAATGTTAAACACTGCATTAAAACTTTGAATTATTATTATGGTTCATTTTTTAGCAAAAATACAGGTTAAGTAGTTTGATAATAATAAATAGTGTTTACTCGAAAGACACAGCTTTAACATTTATTTTTAAAAAGTATTATCATTATTATTAAATGCAATATCTTTATTCTCCTATTTCTGTTTTTATTTTAATTTAAAGAAACGCCTTTTAAAATGTATAAAAACGTTTCCACATTTTATTTTAAATGTATTATTTAATAATATTTTTCAAATACAATATAGTTATTTTGTATTTTTTGTATTATATATAGTAACTTGAATTGAGAAGACTTGGTTCCCTAAACAGCTTCTTTTTTTAATTGACATTATTATTGTGCCAGGATTGAACTTTAATTGATGTGACTCTCTGGGTCTCCTCGTTACAGCTCATCCTACTCGTTCTGTTAACAGGGTTCATTCTCCTTCTCCTCAGAGTTACAGGGTTCCACTCAAACTGAGCTGTTTCTGTTTCACAGACTGAAACAGAAAGAGACATCCGACTGTTCATAGCTATGAAGAGAAAAGTATGTGTAGTTCCAGTGTGTGTCCTGCAGGGGGCGCTGTGGTCTGCACTGTTTTCACAATAACACACACACACAGAGGGGGGGTATAAAGAGAGCGTGTGAGACTCAGAGAGGAACAGAAAGGCTGGAGACCCTCGGCTTCACTCGTCTGGATTTTACCCCGCGACTGGTTCTGATTTCCAGAGGAACGTCGACAGCTGCTTCACCCACCCTTCATCCATCAGCCTGTTAGTCCTCTGAGGAGTGAGATGTCTCCGCTGTCTGTCTGCAGGATCTCTGCTCTCTCCGGTAAGACTATTGTTATTATTATTTATTATTATGTTGTACTTTTTATTTCCTCATATATATATTTTTTTATTTCAATATTTTTTAAATTTTATTTTCTTATAATTGTATTTTGTATTTTTACAGATTTTCAAATGATTATTATTTGTTTTTTCCTCTTTGTGTCTTGTGATTAAATTAAGATTAAATGTGTATACTGTTGTTTTTATTCCTGTTTCTTTCAATAAGAAAACACGTTATAATAATTCAGGACAGTCTTTAAAATAATAACAAATTAATTATTGTTGTTTTTTACTTTTTAAGACTTGGAGTTTAATTTACTGTCTTTGTGTACATTATTATTTAAATCCTCAAATTGTGATTGCTTTGGATGCTAACTGTTATATAATAATATTACCACTTACACTTCTGCCCCCTGTTTTATGTTTATGTCTTGTCCTTGTATGTTTCTTTGTAAAGCGACCTTGAGGTTTTGAAAGGCGCTATATAAATTAAAGTTATTATAATAATAATAATAATGCTAAACAGATGCTGGTTAAGGAGTTCATATATAAAAGGTTTTTGTTCATGTTATTGATTATAAATCAGGTTATCAGTTAACCTCAGCCCTCCGTGAACTCCTGGATCTATTTGACTTTACCTGATGGCTAACGTGTTGCAGGCGAAGCTGGAGGTCATTACATCACAGTGTTGGACGCTTTTATCCAAAGCGACTTCCAGACTCAACACTGTGGGCAATCCCCACTGGAGCACTTTGGAGTGAAGTGTCTCAGGGACACAACGACATGCTGACTGCAGTGGGGTTTGAACCTGTGGTCCCCTGACCCCAACACCAACGCACTACCCACTGCGCCACACGCCTCCTTAGGTCACAGCTGTTTGTTGCTAGTATCCTGTTACAGTAATGAGTGTTTATTAAATGTTTGTAATGAGTAATCTGTGGGATTGATTTCATTGATGAGATCAGCTGGGTCGTTAATCATTTGAGTTCTTCTGAGACGCTCTGAGGTCCAAACTGGATCTTCAGGTTTCTTCTAACAACTGAAGAAATCTCAACAAATAAAACACAATTTAAAGATATTCTTTTTATTTTAACTATTTAATTATTAAGTTTATACACTTTTATTTGTACTTACTTCTAAGTTTTCTTTTATATTTGCGGATTAATTTTAGAGAATATTTGTAATTTTTTTCTTACTATTTTTATTTTTACTGTTTTAACATTTTTAGTCGTTTTCTTCAAAATATGAGATTTTTATATTTGACTTTTTATTTTCAGAGAACAGCTGTTTTTATTTTTGTTTATTTCCGAGTTTCTTCTCTGAATCTCTAACTTCCACAGAATGTATTCATTTGAACCCAAATGACCTCAAACGCTGCTGCTGTTACAGACGTTAGTTTGCTATCAACCATTCATCACTTGCATTAAACTGATTAGACCTTAAAATACTAACCCTCCCCCCCTCCCTCCCTATCAGACCCTCCCTCCCTATCAGACTCCCCCCCCTATCAGACCCCCCCCTCCCTATCAGACCCTCCCTCCCTATCAGACTCCCCCCCCCCCCCCCCCCTCCCCCCCTATCAGACCCCCCCCTCCCTATCAGACCCTCCCTCCCTATCAGACCCTCCCTCCCCTATCAGACTCCCCCCTCCCTCCCCCCTATCAGACCCCCCCCTCCCTATCAGACTCCCCCCCTCCCTCCCCCCTATCAGACCCCTCCCTCCCTATCAGACCCTCCCTCCCTATCAGACCCCCCCCCCTCCATTGACTGCTTTAAATCCAGGGTTCTTACGGTCATTAAAAACCTGGAAAATTCATGGAAATTAAAAATGCAAATTCCAGGCCCTGGAAAAGTTTTGGAAAACAATATTTTTCCCAAAGTTTTGGAAAAGTCATGGAAATTGAACTAAAGTTGCGTCAAATATAATTTATATTTTAGCTAATCGTCGAAATAGTAATACTATAATGATAATAAATACTGTATGGTATAGTAATGAAACGTAAAATGGCATTTAACTGACGAGGTGTTTTGCTGGTGAGAGATTTGAGTTGCTTTAGCGTGAAGATTAGAAGCTAGTAAGCCAACTATTAGATTTGTTTTAGATAGGCTCAACATGTTTCAGATGCAGACCTTATTTTCCTGTTCCATACTGCTGAGAAAGAGTAATTGTTTTGGTCATGGAAAATTAGGTAAAGGTCCTGGAGAAGTCATGGAAAGTCATTGGTGAAAAAGTGAATGAACCCTGTGAATCCAGGCTAAACCCATACTTGGACTCCTTACCGGGCTGATGGTGCCGATGCATTTGTTTATCTGCATATGAGCTGAGTGTTAATGTTTACGTCGGTGTTTCTTTTATTTATTTATCTTATGAAAGGTTGTGTTGGCTTCCTGTTCTGCTCTGTGCAGCACTTTGGGTTGTTTTTAAATGTGCTTTATAAAAAAATGTGATTGATGATAGAATTGTTTTTGTTGTTATTGTTTCCGAGGTGTTTTATTGACGTTGTGTTATTGTTTCTGATATTTCTGATTTTACATGTATTATATTTGTACATGGATTATTTTAAATATTTTTCTAGTTCTCTATCTGTGTTTTACTTTTATGGATGCACCACGACACCAAGTCAGATTCCTCGTACGTGTCGACCTACCTGGAAATAAACCTGTTTCTGATATTTCATGTTGTTGTTTTCCTCCCAGCTGTGCTGCTGCTGCTGCTGACATCGTGGTGCGTTCAGGGACTCCTCCAGGTGGACGTGTTACCCAGAAGGCCTCTCATCGGGCTCGGGCAGTGGCAGCAGCTGTTCTGCCGGGTGCAGGGATGTCCCACAAGGCCGACCGTGTCGTGGTCGTGGCTGGACGACCGGCCCCTCGCAGCCTCAGTGCAATCCAATCAGAGCGGCTCCTCAGTGACCTTTGACCCCGTCAGGATGCACCACGAAGGAGCCCTGCAGTGCCGGGTCCGCTGCGGGGAGGAAAGCGGGAAGAGCCTCAGCACCCTGCACCTCTACTGTAAATACACACAAATATATAAATATATATATATACTGCAGAACTTAGTATATTATATTTATAAGTTGGATTTTATTTACAGAATCAGAATCAGGTTTATCACCAGGTAGGTTGACACGTACGAGGAATCTGACTTGGTGTCGTGGTGCAGACATAAAAGTAAAACACAACAATTAAAAACACAGAACTATTTTAAGAAAAAATACAATATATAGTCAAATAAAAAAATAAAATAAAGCAGTATTTACATTGAAATAGGATGGAATACAATATAAAATATGTGCAGTAAAAAACAGATATTGTCAACATTATGTAAATAAATAGTAAACCCTGTATATAATGAGTAAACCTCTGTGTTTGCAGCCTTCCCATCGGCCCCTCTGATTGGTGGTCAGGAGCGGCTCAGGTTGGGGGCGGAGTCTGTGCTCACCTGTCAGGTGTCTGGTGTGTACCCCCCCGAGCAGCTGACGCTCAGCTGGCTGCAGGGAGGCTCCGTGCTGCAGAGCACCAGGGGCACGGAGCACTCAGAGTACCGGTTCAAGCCCCAGGAGCAGGACCGGGGGCGGAGCCTGATCTGCAGGGCGACGCTGGACCTGAAGGACCTGCCGACGGAGGACCAGACCCGCGAGACTGAGGTTCTGCTGGACCCGCTCTGTGAGTGAATCTCTGGAGAGCAGATGCTCAGGGATAGAATAATAATAATATTAATAATATTTGTGATCCTCTCCAGAATGGAAGCAGTCATCACATACAGAGCATCAACTAGTTCCTGAACAGTGTCCTTCACATGCTGATATCCAAGAGAGGGAGTTACACAGTCACAAGATGGAGGAGTAGAAAGCAGTATTCAATGTTTACTTCAGATTAGCTCCACGTCAGAAATGAGCATGCTTGATGTCTCTCTCCATAGAGGCTGAATCATCATGTTAATCACATAGCTATCATCTGCCTCAAACAGTCCTGATGCTCTTCTAGGTCATCACACATCCTGTCATGTTCTTAGCTGCAGTTGGGATACCTTTGTTATCAAGTTACTCTCATGTTGGAAGAGGACATTCAGTGTTCTCCCAACAATGAAATAAGTCCTCCTCCTCAGTCGCTCCTGTGGTGACGGAGATCTCCTCCTCTGCTCTGCTGATGGTCGGCGCTCCGTTCGTCCTCTCCTGCTCCGCGAGGGGAAACCCGGAGCCGCAGATCAGCTGGAGCTTCAGGTCTGCAGGCGGACAGGTGGAGGCGGGCAGACCCTCTGATAGGCTGGAGATCGCTCAGGTGAGGCTGAGCGACGCCGGACGCTACGACTGCGAGGCGAGGAACAGCGAGGGGAATCACAGCGCCAGCGTGGAGGTCAGAGTGCACGGTGAGAGAGAAGTTTGTTTTAACGTCTCTGACTTTATTCTGAGTTTTCCCCAAAATATCTGAATTCTGACTATTTCTCAACATTCTGACTTTATTCTGATTTTTTTCTCAACATTCTGACTTTATTCTGATTTTTTTCTCAAAGTTCTGACTTTTCCTCAAAATAACTGAATTCTGACTTTTTCTCAAAATTCTGACTTTTCCCCCAAAATATCTGAATTCTGACTTTTTCTCTAAAATATCTGAATTCTGACTTTTTCTCTAAAATATCAAAATTCTGACTTTTCTCCCTAAATATCTGAATTCTGACTTTTTCTCTAAAATATTAAAATTCTGACTTTTCTCCCTAAATATCTAAATTCCGACTTTTTCCCTAAAATATCTGAATTCTGACTTTTTCTCAAAATATCTGAATTCTGACTTTTTCTCAAAATTCTGACTTTTCCCCCTAAATATCTGAATTCCGACTTTTTCTCAAAATCTCTAAATTCTGACTTTTCCCCCTAAATATCTGAATTCTGACTTTTTCTCAAAATTCTGACTTTTTCTCAAAATTCTGACTTTTCCCCAAAATATCTAAATTCTGACTTTTCCCCCAAAATATCTAAATTCTGACTTTTCCCCCAAAATATCTGAATTCCGACTTTTCCCCTGAAATATCTGAATTCTGACTTTTTCTCAAAATTCTGACTTTTCCCCCAAAATATCTGAATTCTGACCTTTTCTCTAAAATATCAAAATTCTGACTTTTCCCCCTAAATATCTGAATTCTGACTTTTTCTCAAAATTCTGACTTTTCCCCCAAAATATCTGAATTCTGACCTTTTCTCTAAAATATCAAAATTCTGACTTTTCCCCCTAAATATCTGAATTCTGACTTTTTCTCAAAATTCTGACTTTTCCCCCTAAATATCTGAATTCTGACTTTTTCTCAAAATCTCTAAATTCTGACTTTTTCCCTAAAATATCTGAATTCCGACTTTTTCTCAAAATATCTGAATTCTGACTTTTTCTCCAAATTCTGACTTTTTCTCCAAATTCTGACTTTTCCCCCAAAATATATGAATTCCGACTTTTCCCCCAAAATATATGAATTCCGACTTTTACTCAAAATTCTGACTTTTTCTCAAAATCTCTAAATTCTGACTTTTCCTAAAATATCTGAATTCTGACTTTTTCTCAAAATATCTGACTTTACATTGGAGGTCAGAAATGACGTCCACCCCAGTTTACTGCGTTCGTGTATCACAAGTCGGGAAAAACCCCACAGGAAAGTCGTTGACAGCTTTAGCAGTTCACCATCACCCAATATTTTTAGGACTATGTTGACAATGTTCACATTTTACTTTTAATTCTTGGCTATTATTGAATGATTTTTCCAATTTCTGAAATGTATTTTTTAGAAATGTTCCACGTGTTTTCCGGATGCTTTTCACACCCTCTGAACCGGAAGAGAAATACAACTATGATTCGAGGAGCAAAGCTGTTACAAATGTATATGTTACTTAAATTATCAAAGTGTTCCAGTTTAACCGAACGTTCCATAACTCACCTGTCCTCCCCCCCCACAGCCCCCCCCACCAACACCTCCCTGTCAGTGAGTCCAGGTGAGCAGGTGCTAGAGGGGCAGCAGGTGACCTTTACCTGCCAATCAGACGGAGCCCCGCCCCCCACGCTGGTGCTGAGGAGGGAGGGGGAGGAGCTTCAGAGGACAGACTCCGCCTCCTCCTCCTCTCTCTCCTTCAGCCTCTCCTCCGCCTCGCTGCAGGACTCCGCCTCCTACCTGTGTGAAGCATCCAATCAGTACGGAGCTCACCTGGTGAACCGATCCATCACCGTCACAGGTACGGCTTTACCGTCTTAACTAACGTTAACTATCTCTGTAGCGGCAGTCGTTGTAGCGTGTTTTGTTGTTGTTTACATGTAGTCGTGTTTATACGGTGTTGTTGTTCTGTCAGCTCACCCCCTGCAGGTGGATCTGAGTCCCCTGGTCCCTGCAGCAGATCGGGGTTCAGATCTGCTGCTCACCTGCCGGGCCTCTGGGTGTCTCCTCCCCCCCACCTTCACCTGGAGGAGGACTGACCAGAACCACACCCTCCTCCAGGGGTCACACCAGAACCAGAACCACACCCTCCTCCAGGGGTCACACCAGAACCAGAACCACACCCTTCTCCAGGGGTCACACCAGAACCAGAACCACACCCTCCTCCAGGGGTCACACCAGAACCACACCCTCCTCCAGGGGTCACACCAGAACCAGAACCACACCCTGCTCCAGGGGTCACACCAGAACCAGTCCCTGCTCCTCCTGCAGGATGTGGACCTCCAGGATCAGGGAGGGTACAGCTGTGAGGCCGAGTGTGACTCTGTGATCCGGACCGCTGAGATCCAGCTCCACGTCTTCTGTGAGTCCCTTAACAGCTCAACTAACTGACCCAATGACAAACCAAGGCACCTCTCTAGTGGCTCCGCCCACCAAGTTGAAACCAAGGGATAATTCATAGTAGCAGAATTCACAAAAGGACACTGACGAAACCCAAATCCCCGTTAGGCTGTGAAATGACATTTGGAGTGGTTATTGATCCCAATTTGGGAAGTGTTTTTGTGCGTGGAGTGGTTTTGGGGTTCTGTCTACCGTGAGTAGTGTTGTGACCTTCGGATATAGAGAGCACAAGATGAACATGATTACTAACGATCAACATCCGTGCACAGAGAGGAATATTGAAGTGTTTCCAGGTCCTCGTCTTCTGTGAGTCCGAGACACCGTTAGGATTCAATTTCAATTCAAGTTTATTTATATAGCCCAAAATCACAAATCCTATTTGTCTCAGAAGTCAACAAACACAATTGGCAATGTAAAACAATGTGAAAACAACAAACGTATCTTATAAGATCAATGTGAAAACACCAATTTAAAAAGGAACATAACACAATGACACAAATACAGTTAGAGTACAATAAAAAACATTCCATAAAAGGAAGGGTCCATGAGGAGGGGGGGTTTAAAACCAGTCTCAACTGTGCGCTGTACTAAAGAGGAAAGTCTTTAACCTGCTCTTAAATGTGTGGACACCGTCTCCCTAATCAGCGCTGGAAGTTGATTCCAGAGGAACGGGGTAGCCGAAAGCTCGAGCACCTGACCTTTGTTAGTGGACTCTGGGAACCAGCAACAGACCTGCATTCTGGGACCTTAATGCCCTAGAGGGGCAATAGGAGATTACAAGATCCTGTAGGTAGGATGGTCCCTGACCATTTAGCGCTTTGTATGCGAGTAAAAGTATTTTACTTAGAATGTCACATAAAAAATACTTTAGCCAAGTGGCAACCTTCAAGTCTGAGAGAAACCCCCTCTGACGCAACACAGGGGTTTTAGCCTCTGCAGATATCAATCAAATACAATATCTGAATTCTGACTTTTTCTTTTTTATGACTTTTTTTTCTAAATTATGACTTTTTCTCTCATAATCTCGAGAATCTGACTTTTACCACACACACAAGAATTCAGACTTTTTGCTTAAATGTCAGACTTTTTCTGAACATCTCAAAATGATGCTGCCTTACTTTTACATGGAGTTGGGAAATAGGAGTGACGTTACACCCGAGTGTACTGCATTTCAGTAGCACCCATCTGCATGAGAGAGAACACCACAACAAGCAGAATAGAGCCTCTCTTCAATGCTCGGTAGTTTTAGCTCCGCCCTCTTACGTCACTTCTGGTTTCCCAAAATCAACATAGAGTCTTCAAAATAACAACAAGGTGACAGCCAATAAAACAACATGCCAAACGTGTGGCTTCAAAACTGTAGTCCACAATCCAATAGCGTTCATCGGAGTGACTTCAAATTGGGCAGATATTTTTCTCAGGTTCCAAAGAAGCAGAGATTCAAGTGTGAAGTATTTTGGAAGTGCGGTTATCCAGGAATCTGCTTTGAAGAATGCAGGAGATCAGGCATTGGGACAGCACTAGACAGGATTACATTAGATACTGAGACATTCCTGCAGGTCTCTCTGAGGGTCTCTTGAGGGTCTCAGAGGGGGCTCAGGGTCTCTCTGAGGGACTCTGAGGGTCTCAAAGGGGGGTCAGGGTCAGTCGACACTTCAGTTTGCCTGACGGTCAGACCAGAGCGGTCGAAGGTCACAGAGCCCCTCCCTTCTGTTAGATTATATATATATAGAAATGTATTTATTCGGATAAAGCCCTCGAGACGCACCATCTGGTTTTCAAGGGGGTCCCGACAAAAGCCACGTCTCACAGACAGACATGAAGAAAATACCAGAAAGCAAAGCACGACAAACCACGTACCGTCTGTCACGTAGCATTCATGGAGTCAGACCTACAATCCTCACAATGTGATGGACAGGGTCTCAGATCAGTTTGATCAATAACAAGAGCAGCTGGAAGTGACATGATGCTGCTGAAACGAACCCACTGATGATCAGCAGGTCAAGTACTCCAGTCTGTTGGGGCTTTACACGTCAACGCTCTTCTGACAATGGACAGAGGAATACATCTGGACAGAGTGTCTGACTCGATCATTTGAAGGTACAAAAATACTGCTTTAAATAAGGGGACAGTTCAAGGAAATGCATTTAATATAAGTCGAAGCCAATGCAGAGGGAGGTTCCTCTCACTGATCTGTGTTGAATCTGATCCGAGCAGGACACACTGACAGGAAGTGACACAACAGGGGAGCAGGGCCAAACACACACACACACACACACACACACACACACACACACACACACATACACACACACACACACACACACACACACACACACACACACGCACACACGCACGCACACGCACACACACACACAGACACACACACACACACACACACACACACACACACACACACACACACACTGTACACCCCCTCACACAGTTCCAGTAAGACACAGCTCCCCCGCAGAGACATTGGACCCTCAGTTTGTTCTGTCAGGAGTTCATGAACCTCTCACAGGAACATCAAATCCTTTCAGACACACTTCATCAGATAACGATAGAGACGATACACAGAAGTAAACCGTTTTTTTAAACAGGACACATCTTTATTTGCAGGAAGTAATTAAACAGAGATGATCAATAATGTGCAACAACCTTCAAGTGCCTAAAATAAACTCAGTGTGTTGGTGGAAAATGTCCTCTACTCAGTGAGTGGCTTTAAAAAGATAACTTCCTGTTGTCTCTTTAGGGACTGTATCTGCTATGCATCAGCGTAAATGATTATATAAAGCCGTCACTTTAACACGTCTCACTTTCGAAGAGGAGAGGAGGGTTAAGAGAGCTGGAAAGTCATGTTTTTAAATAACATCACCACCTAGTTTATTGCCAAGTTGGTTTATATACCGATTTTACAGCCACTTAGTGACAAAGAGAGTGAGCTACAGTGAGTACAACCAACACTAGGAAACTGTGAAAATGACATCACAGGTAGCCCCGCCCACAAGCATGCGCCGCTTTATCGTCTATTTTACTTTTAATGGGACTATAGTTTACTAAATGACATCATGCTGTGTTGAAGAAGACTTGGAAATACAGATTGAGACCATAAACTCATCAGGAAAATGTTTACTGAGGTAATAAATAAAGAGAGAAGTAGGAACATCTCCTCATAGACTTCAGGATGTGTTGTCGATGAAGTATCTCTAACTCTCCGGATGTTTCTTCTCGCAGCGTTTCCGTCCGATCCGGTTCTGGAAGCTCCCGGTCCGGTCCTCCTTGGTCAAGAGGCGGTCCTTCGTTGTAACGTCACCAACGTGTTCTCAGCCAATCAGATGAGGATCCTGTGGTTGTCTGGCAACAGGACGCTGTTGTCCGAGTCGCTCAGGTTCTCCGGTTCCTTACAGAACGTCTCGTCTGTTCTTCAGTACCAGGTCCAGGAGGATCAGCCGGTTCTGGTCTGCAGGGCGGAGCTGCTAAGGGAGGACGGAGATGTTTGGAGGTCCAGGAGGACGAGTGTAGCTCTAAAGGTTCACTGTGAGTGTCTGAGCAAATCAAATACTTCCTGTTAGAGGCTTTTATTGTGAAGGAGCTACTTCTTTAATCTCAGATTGAGGTTTTGTTGAATTAAAATTCAGGCTTTGTTGATTTTAGATTAAAGGTTTCGAAAAGCACAAATTCAAGTTTTGTTGAACTCAGATTAAAATGTTGTTCCTCTCAGATTATTTATTTTTTAAATCTCAGATTCAGGTTTTGTAAATCTCCGATTGAATCATTTGGGATTAACAAATTCACGCTTTGTTAATCTCAAATTCTGGTTTAGTCGAACTCCGATTCAGATTTTGTCAAACTGAGTTTCAAGTTTTTGAAATCTGAACCAATGAGTCCCGTTTGTGTTGCAGATCCTCCGAGGGGAACCTCCCTGTCAGTGAGTCCAGGTGAGCAAGTGCTGGAGGGGCAGCAGGTGACCTTTACCTGCCAATCAGACGGAGCCCCGCCCCCCACGCTGGTGTTGAGGAGGGAGGGGGAGGAAGTTCAGAGGACAGACTCCGCCTCCTCCTCTCTCTCCTTCAGCCTCTCCTCCGCCCGGCTGCAGGACTCCGCCTCCTACCTGTGTGAAGCATCCAATCAGTACGAAGCACAACTGATGACCCGATCTATCACCGTCACAGGTACGTTACTGTTGTCAGTGGTGTAGTACTATGACTCATTGAGAGTAAAAGTGAAGCTAAAACTCAGAGCCATGAGGCGCTCCATGTGAGAGCGTTAGGCCCTTATTTAGTTTAATTATTAGTTTAACATTTAATTGGCACATTCAAAATTATATAAAATATAATCGAAAACCTAGAGGACCGAGTGCAGAGCCTTGAGGAACTCCACACGAAACATTTATTTTCTTAACTCTCTTGTTTTTGGTGATTTCACACTAAAAACATTCACTGAAAGCTCACCTATCATGCTATTTTCAGGCAATAGCATAGGTCTCAGCAGTGGCGGCGCCAGAGTATTTTTGTTGGGTAGTCTATGGTAGGGCTAACCCATACAGTGGTGGGGCTCAAGTCAGTATTTGTAGCCTAATGTAATTACATACACGCTATATCGCACCCATTGACAGTGAAACGCCACGCGTGAGGCTTTTATTAGTCTCCTTTTATCAGCTAAATTACATCGAGAGCAACAGGTGTGAGTTAAACAATACAATAGCCTATTCTGCTAATTCCACGTTGTTACAGCATGCTACGCAGCGGCAGAAACAAGAAAAGTTGGCATATAGAATTGACACGGAGAGAGAGAGAGAGAGGGAGAGTGAGGGAGAGACACAGGTAAACAGAGAGAGACAGACACAGCACACAACAGGTGGCCACTTTTTCAAATGACCCATTATTACAAAATATATTCAAAACTCACTATTGACGTTCTCAAAGCAGCACGATCCGCCGGTTGTTGTGGTTGGAAGCGAAAATGTCAATGACACGCTGGACATCCAGTGCTTTACTCCTCTGCTTATTGATAGCCATTAGCCAGCAGGCCCAGGTTGCTGTTCCGTGCATCACCACTGCTGTTTCTTAGATAATTCTTGATGCGACGGAGACAGGAGAAGCTGCGTTCACCGCCAGCAGAGCGCAGAGTCAGGGAGATGCATATGAGTCTGTGTAAATCCGTATAGCCATCCTTGTAGGGTCGCATTAAAGCGCCTGTTCGACTTGTACCTCAATGCGAGGGCGTTTAAGAACAAATCTATCCATCCGAAATATACAATTAATCTTAGAAGTTCTGCTGTCTGTCTGCAATTTACTCGGCGCGAGTTTGGGGACTTTTCACTGTACACGTGAATCAGTAATGCATGACGCAGCAGACCCAACGTTTCGTTGCTCTGTTTGGCTGTTCAAATTGCATTCGGAAGCATTTCGATCTGACCGCGGCCGCGCTGATATTATAACGCGAAAGGATTTCCACACCTTTAGTGTATAAAACTCCCCCACTACTTAGACTATTCCTTACACCCCTCTAGCATAAGCCGAATGGTCTCAACCATATTGCGTCAGTAACGTCCACTTCAGGATCAGTTTGTGTGTTGTGGACACGACCGGTAGATTTTCGCAATCCGTGTTCTCAACATGCTTACTTTAACATAATTTTTCATGGTCGGGCTAAGGTAGGGCTAAGCCATTTCTTGGTATGGCTGTAGCCTACCCCAGCCATACCCTGGCGCCGCCACTGGGTCTCAGATATATAAAAATATATAAAAAACATGTCTATGAAGTGTTTTGCTCCAAACACCAAACAGATCATTCTAGCCATGCCTCATATCCCTCTATTCCACTTCCTGTTTCTAAAGTGATGTTTGGGTATAAAGCTTTAAAGAGGAGGGGTCAGAGCTCAAGCGGGACCCGGCAGCTACTGTCTAAACTAAATGCTGCCGTGATGAAACGCCATATCATGGATTATCAAGGATTCTCTCTGAAACAGTTTGGAGCTCAAAGGCTTTCTCTCTTGCCGGTTATACCACAAGGTGAGTTCCTTTCTACTTCCTGCTTCTTCACACACATGCTCTCCAGTACAGGTTAGCTCTGAGTGTTAGCGATGCTAATGTAAACACCGACCATATTACGTCCAAAACAGTCGGGCATTGTTTCTGATAGCAACGTTTCTGATTGGGCCGTGGGTCCACATTTCAGATATTACGTCATATCGGACGCAAATCTGGATCAGCTCCGTTGTTCCCCGTTTTTAGAGATTTGGGTACGGAGGAAAAGAGAGAGGGTTTTATTTCCTGACACTGCGTGAGTTCCCCGACACACCGGGGACACATGTTGATGTAGAGAGACATCAGAAAGTGCATTTTGCATGATAGGTCCCCTTTAATATAAACATAAGTAGACATATTTTACGTACAAGTATGATACATTAATTTGCAATACATTCCTTTGGTTGAAATATAGATTTGTTTTTGATGGGCATCGATTAAATTAACACCTTGCAGTGAAATCAGTGCATATACAAATCAAAAACTAGTTTACAATTTTATTAACCTCAGATTTGGGTTCTGTTGATTTTAATCTTGTTAAACTCAGATTTAAATTGTGTACATTTCAGATTCAGGTTTCGTTAATCTCGGATTAAAATGTTGTGAACCTCAGACTTATTTACAACAATAAGATGTGCATGACTAACTGGATGCTAACTAAATCAAATATGTTTTCATAAATGTAACTTTGTGGGCAGGTTAAGCGCACAGTTATTAAAAAGGTCAATAAAAAGTTTGTTTTAACTTCCTCTGAATGATAATAACATTTTTGGTGGATGACAGACTTTATAAATGTTCCCCCGGTTCCTCTTCTGCTTCTTGTTTCTGTGGTTGTTGTGACAGATGTTATCTGAAGAGTCTCCCTCCTTCACAAGATGCTGAGCTGCTGTGGACAGAAATAAACTGTGACTCTGTGCTCAGTAATGTGTCGGCCTCCTGAGCGAGCAGCTGATTACATCCACAGATATTCACATACACATATATATATATATATATATATATATATATATGAATAACTTCAGTGAACATTAATGGCGCATTTCCACTGCCGCGCGTAGCACGGTTTAAGCGTGCCGTGCCAAACCCGGCCCGTTTTTTTGTTGCGTTTCCACTCGGGGTAGTTCCGGCTAGCGGGTACTGTTTCACAGTTTTTCTGGCTCTCCAATATCGAGGTTCTTTCCGGGCCAACAACCGGGCTGAGTTTGCTGAACTAGTGAGAGAATCGCTGGCAACTACAACAAGATGAACATATTTGACCGTGATTTAATTGTAATACACGTTTCAAAATGATGCCGAAGTAACAACATACTGATACCGGTTAGTAAAAACCATGAATTAATGCTTTGACAAGTCTGCAGACAGACGGCAGGCGAAACACCTTTTAAAATGCGTGTTTTCTGAATGGAGATCGGCTAAGCTAACGTTATATATGCTCCGACCGTCCACACTCACAACAACGGCCTACAGACATAAATAAAGCAGCGACTGTATTCTCCATGACACAGGCAGTCTGTGGTTTGTACTTGTTTAACTTCTGTCTAGTTTCTGAACAGATATGAGGAGCTGTGAGCTCTGAGGGCTAACAGCTAACGGCTGTGTTGTTTTCCCTGTGTTTCTCATTGAAGATGACGTCACGGCTCCGCCTACACTGCGTTACTATAGTTACTGCCCCAGCTACTAAACTGTAATGGAGACGCAGCATAAAGTGAGCCTGGCCTAACGAGACCTAACCAAACCGTACTCAGCCGAGCGAGGCCTGCAGTGGAAATGCGCCATTAGAGACACTGCTAAGATTTCCCTTTCTATGGTCTTGCTATTTAAAAGTATACATGCATTGAGTAAAAGGACGTTTTAGATTTGTTATAGAAACTATTGATGATGTTTTCCTTAAATTTCCAATAAGATAAGATGAGAGGTTTTTATTGATCCCAAATTGGAAAGAGTTTGCGTTGCAGCAGCATAAAAAAACAAGGCATTGCACATGAGTAGAAGTTAAAGAGTAGAAATAAACAATTCGAGAATTTAAACATCTCAAAATAGAATTAAAATATACATTAAAAAGTAGATACAGTAGACCATGAAGATAAAACAATCTATAAACTCTGCCAATAAAACACTGAATTCTAATGTTAGAATTTTCAGAATTGAATCCTAGAAAATGGCATCTGGTGAAATAAAGGAAGTTGCAGTGGTTTAAGACCTCAAGTAATGCAAAGAATACACGTTCATATTCATTTTTAAATATCACAATACTGATGTTTTAACTTAGGCAGAGTTTATAAATCACTATTTGTTGGAATGCATTGGATTTTCTTTTTGATATTAAAAGTTAAGGCTTAGTAAAAAGCATTTTTAAAAAGGTGTTTTTAGAAGTTAAAAGCCAGCCCATTCAGTGTTTTAAAGGTTAATTATATGATCTTACATCACATGTTACTTGTTAGACGCTTTTATCCAAAGTGACTTACATACTCAACACTGTGGAGAATCCCCACAGGAGCAGTTTGGGGTGAAGAGTCTCAACGACATGCTGACTGCAGTGGGGTTTGAACCTGTGACCCCCTGATCCCAACACCAACGCACAACCCACTGCGCCACAGCCTTATATAAACTGTTAAACCGCTCCTGTTATAAACTCTGCTTCACCAAACAGTTCAGTTTCATTCTTTCACTTTTTAATTACAGACGTTCTGTCAGGAGGAGTTATAATAGAAGGATAAAAGTTGTGATGCCCTTATCTTAGTGTTAAAAGTTGTCTTGTTTTGACTTTCCATTGAAACTCCCTTCCTGTGTTTGACACTAAATGATCCTCCTTCACACTTTCTGAGAAATCTTCCTCCTCATTGTTGAAACTACTGTTTCGAAACCCCTGCCGAGCAGTTTTAAAAAGTCCAGTCACTTTGATATAAAACAGAGAAAGTTCATCCATTATCAAAGTAGTTGGAGATTTAGCTTGTTGTGGTGTTCCCCTTCCTGTATTGTGTTATATAGGTTTTAGTGCATGTAAATGGTCTGCATTATATTCTAACTTATTTTTTGTCATACTCTATTTAGTCGTTTTTTGGGTATAAACATGCTGCTGTGCCGTGGAAACAAATCCCAATATTTGGCAATAGAGGATATGTAATCCATAAAGAACACACTGGGCCAGGTTAAGTACAAAAAAGAGAGGCTAAAATAGAGACTTTTTCATATCTAAGAAACCGTCAATAGGCGCTTTCACACCGGAGTACTTTTCCCCCGAACTAGGCCGATAGGGGGAGATTTGGTTTCACACCAAAAAGGATCTGGAACTAGCCCCTAGTTCGCGCGAACCTTTTCACATCCAGATAGTCCCTGCTAGAGAGGTGGTACTTTCCTGAGGAGGAAATGGTTCGTGGGTGGGTGTTTCTCAATGTCGAGTACGCTTCCTTGGTAGCACATGTCTTCCGAGTCACTTGCTTCAGAAGCGAGACAAGAATGCTTCCTGGCATTCGGAAAACGAAGAGTGGAACAGGTGAGCAGGTGTGCGTCATATGAGAGGCCCCGCCTTACATTTTCCGCCACAGATTTGGGGAAATTGGTCCGTGCGCAAAGCATTGTGGGGATTTTAAGACCGCGGAGTCTACACATGTGGAGCCTCGACATTTCTCCAAACTAAGTACGCCTGGCTCGGTAGATTTCCAAGTATGCTGGAGATTGGAACAGTCCTTCGGCGGCACTCGATGACGTAGTACGCTTGAAATAGTGGCTCTGGAGCAGCCTTCCTCGACATTGAGAAACACCCGGTGTGTCGGCCACACTAACAATTTCTGATTGGCCGGACGATTTGCAAACCACGCCCCGTAAAACTCAAAGCAGAAGAAGAAGTGACGTCAGCGGCTTCATTTGCCTAATCCTCCCTCTGGGACTTATTCCGGTGAGAACGCGATCTACTATCCCTGTTCCAGGGACTAAAGAGTTCAGGGGAACAAGTACCGGCTAAGTACTTGGTGTGAAAGCGGCTATTGTTTCCAAAAAAGGGGATATTTCACTGCTAGTTGGGCGAAAAGCAGCATTTTATTGTCATGACTAGAATAAAAGTTTGACGTGTTTCACTAGCCCTAACCCTAAACCCTCTGCATGAATGAGGTGTGAATGGATGAATGACTCGTAGTATGTAAAGTAATTTGAGGGGTCGAAAAGACCTGATAAAGCGCTATATAAGTAAAGTCCTGTTACCATTTACCATTTCAGAAAGACTTTAAATCAAATGTCTGACAAGCTTTCACATTATAAAGAGTATTAGTTGTTCAGCAAAGCATTATAATCTTAATCTGGTCTCCACAGCGCCCCCCAGGAACACCTCGGTGCTGGTCCTGCCCTCTACGGTGGTCCAGGAGGGACAAACCATCACCGTCTCCTGCCACACCGTCTGCTTCCCGCCCGCCGCCGTCAGTCTGAAGAACCTGGCCAATGGGACGGAGCTATACTCGTCCAACGGCACCTTCCTATTGGTCAACGTGACGGCCAGAGACTCGGGGATGTACCAGGTCAACGTGACCAACGAGCTGGGGTTCCAGGTCCGAGTGTTCAGCATCCGGGTCAGAGGTCAGTGCTGTCTCCCTTTGACTTAATATATGTTTTATGCATTATCACAGACAAACTGAACCGGAAATTCTATGTCCTTGTATGAGACTTTTTACATAGATTTAAAAAAAATTGTTTTAATAATAGTTTTAATTTTTTGGTTGTTTTTCTTACAATTGATCTTTAACTGTGTTTATGTATGCACCATATATACACCAAGGGAAATTCCACGTGTGAACCTAGTTGGCAATAAACCTGTTCTGATTCTGATTCGGTAGTAAGGGTTCTTGTAAATCACAAAGCTATTTGTTACTCTGATTATTACCTGGGGAGGGGGAGATAGTATTGTTTTTATTAGTAAATGTTCTATGTTTTTGGTTTGTGAAGCACTTTCAGAATCAGAATCAGAATCCCTGTATTAGTCCCGCAGAGGGGACATTTACATTGTTACAGCAGAGAAGAGCCATAGACAGCTTCATGTTACCTGGTATATATTGCACAGTTATTAACGGCATATATATATATATTGCACATATTGCACATAGTTACCTTTTTGTGTATGAAAAGTGCTAAATAAATAAAGTTTGATTTGCTACTGACATAGTTAACAACCTCCTGGTTTATTTTATCCTGAATGTGTCCTCCTCCACACAGAAAGGAGCTCCAGTCCTCCCAGTCTCGGCAGCGTTCTCATCCCAGTCCTCTGCTCCGCCGTTGGGCTCGCCGCCGCTGCTCTGCTCCTCGACATGCTGAGGAGATCCAGGAAGAAAGGTTTCTATCAGCTGCCGCAAACTGCCCCGCCATCAGCCTGAGGGACGCTAACCGCGGGCTACTGACTTTCAGCATGTGGCTACCAGCTTACATCAAGTAGCTACCCCTCAAACATGTGGCTAACACGTCCAAACATGTGGCTAGCATCCTCAAACATGTGGCTAGCATCCTCAAACATGTGGCTAGCATCTCCAACATGTGGCTAGCATCTCCAACATGTGGCTAGCATCTCCAAACATGTGGCTAGCATCTCCAAACATGGTGGCTAGCATCTCCAAACATGTGGCTAGCATCTCCAAACATGGTGGCTAGCATCTCCAAACATGTGGCTAGCATCTCCAAACATGTGGCTAGCATCTCCAAACATGTGGCTAGCATCTCCAAACATGGTGGCTAGCATCTCCAAACATGTGGCTAGCATTTCCAAACATGTGGCTAGCATCTTCCAACATGGTGGCTAGCATCTTCCAACATGGTGGCTAGCATCTCCAAACATGTTGCTAGCATGTCTAAACATCTGGCTAGCATCCCTAAACATGCGGCTAGCATCTCCTAGCATGTGACTAGCATCTCCAAACATGTGGCTAGCATCTCCTAGCATGTGACTAGCATCTCCAAACATCTGGCTAGCATCTCCAAACATGTGACTAGCATCTCCAAACATGTGACTAGCATCTCCAAACATGTGGCTAGCATCTCCAACATGTGGCTAGCATCTCCAAACTTTTGGCTAGAATCTCCAAACTTTTGGCTAGAATCTCCTAGCATGTGACTAGCATCCCCAAACATGTGGACTATCTCCAAACATGTGGCTAGCATCACCAAACATTCTGTGGCTACCTTGTAATTGCACCTTCTGTTGTGATATGCTAACATGTGGCTACTGTGTCCAAACATCTGGGTACCACCCTCCTAATTTGTAACTGCTAACATGCTAACCTGTGACTTTGATAGCTCAACATGTGGCAACCACTTTTCAAAACATTACTGCATCATTCCTGGACACTCCAACAACATGGGACTACTTTTTGAGCGGGATTTTACCACTTGACAATTTATTTATAAAGTTTGTTTATATAACTATCATGTGCTTGGATACTACTTCCCAACGAGATACACCAAGTTTCAAAATGTCGCTAATTGTGCCTTCCTTGTTCCAACTTGTGTCTTTTATATGGTAGCGCATTGTTACTTTGTCCAAACATGTTGATGCCACCTTCAAAATGTTGACTGCTAAATGTGGCTACCAGATTCCACATCATTCCGGGACACGGAACTACATGATACAAAACAACTTGTTTTCTAACTATCCTGTGCTTGGCTACCACCTCGTAGCATGCGGCTTTGATAATCAGACATGAGACTAGCTGTATTAGTTGTTTAGATAAACACTGGTGTATTTCTCCATGTGATTCTGGATTATGTCAGAAAATAATCTCAGTGTCAAACAAACGTTTATGATAATTACATGTTTACTTCAGCAGGATAATCTCCACATGTTAACACCACTTGATGATTTCTGAAGTAAAAAGCTAACGTTAGGCTACAGCACGGTCACATGACTTCACATCACCACCGCTAAGCTAAAGGCGGCTAATGTTGGGCTCTAAAGGAACTGTAGCACGGTCACATGACTTCACGTCACCACCGCTAAGCTAAAGGTGGCTAATGTTGGGCTATAAAGGAACTACAGCACGGTCACATGACTTCACGTCACCACCGCTAAGCTAAAGGAGGCTAATGTTGGGCTATAAAGGAACTACAGCACGGTCACATGACTTCACGTCACCACCGCTAAGCTAAAGGTGGCTAATGTTGAGCTATAAAGGAACTACAGCACGGTCACATGACTTCACGTCACCACCGCTAAGCTAAAGGCGGCTAATGTTGGGCTATAGAGGAACTACAGCACGGTCACATGACTTCACGTCACCACCGCTAAGCTAAAGGCGGCTAATGTTGGGCTATAAAGGAACTACAGTATGGTCACATGACTTCACGTCACCACCGCTAAGCTAAAGGAGGCTAATGTTGGGCTATAAAGGAACTACAGCACGGTCACATGACTTCACGTCACCACCGCTAAGCTAAAGGCGGCTAATGTTGGGCTATAGAGGAACTACAGCACGGTCACATGACTTCACGTCACCACCGCTAAGCTAAAGGAGGCTAATGTTGGGCTATAAAGGAACTACAGCACGGTCACATGACTTCACGTCAGTACCGCTAAGCTAAAGGCGGCTAAAGTTGGGCGTGATGACGTTAAGTCGTCTTATTAAGTTCACTTGTTGGCAACCTCCGTCTTTCAATTAACCAGTGAGGTATTTACTGACAGTCTAATGCTATCCTGCTAACGTGATGTTTCCATATCCCAACATGTGACTACACAACCCAGTCTCACGGCATTTCGTGTTATGGTCACAACATTAATTTAATCTATTGATTCGTGCCTGCACCACGTCTTTTTGTCCGGTCGGGTCTTGGAAGACCGGAAGCTGTGGGGTTCATAAAAACATTTTCTTACTTAATATCTTACCCTAAGGCAAGGCAAGGCAAGGCAAGGCAAGGCAAGGCAAGGCAAGGCAAGGCAAGGCAAGGCAAGGCAAGGCAAGGCAAGGCAAGGCAAGGCAAGGCAAGGCAAGGCAAGGCAAGGCAAGGCAAGGCAAGGCAAGGCAAGGCAAGGCAAGGCAAGGCAAGGCAAGGCAAGGCAAGGCAAGGCAAGGCAAGGCAAGGCAAGGCAAGGCAAGGCAAGGCAAGGCAAGGCAAGGCAAGGCAAGGCAAGGCAAGGCAAGGCAAGGCAAGGCAAGGCAAGGCAAGGCAAGGCAAGGCAAGGCAAGGCAAGGCAAGGCAAGGCAAGGCAAGGCAAGGCAAGGCAAGGCAAGGCAAGGCAAGGCAAGGCAAGGCAAGGCAAGGCAAGGCAAGGCAAGGCAAGGCAAGGCAAGGCAAGTTTATTTATATAGCACTTTTCAACACAAGGCAATTCAAAGTGCTTTACAAAAAATGAAAGAGATTAAGAAAATGGCATTTAAAATCAGTCATTAAAAGAAAAGCTAATAAAATAAACATAAACCCTAAGCCTAACCCTTTTATTTTAAATTGTATAATGAGTTTTTTTGCCGTCCGCGAGGAAAAGAAATGGCTCAGAGCCTCAGAATACTGACATCTGTATTTTTTTTCTTCTTCTAATTTGTTATTATTTGGTGCAGGCACGAAACATACTACCAATAGAAATACATTGCTTCTAAAATCGTTCTGTGTCAGAATACTGAAATCTGTATTTTTGTGTTGGTGAACACGAATCAATAGATTAATTTCGTGACTATAACACGAAATGCCGTGAGAGTGTGTTGGACTACACTACCTGATGCTCTGTATATGAACAGCAGCTAACATCATGTTATAGATATGCACCACATTGTGGATCAGTGAGTTTTAATCACAATCTTTGTAAATGTGTTTGTTGCTTTATTTGAGGGAGTGTGCGAATGTGTTTTACTTCATGTGTGCCATGCAACAAAGGTCCAAGTTGCTCCAGGTGTAGAATCTGTTTTCAGTGAACTGTCCCTTTTAAAAAGTTTCCTCTGGATCACATCTTCGGACACGAGTGTTTTTATAAATGAGCAGAAGAGGGAGGCTGGTTTGGTACTTCGTTTTTTATCTTCAAATGTTCTGCTGCCGATCTAATGTGTTTCTCTTTCTGTGCTTTTATTAAAGATATTTATTTCTTCATTGTGCTTTTGGAACATGATTACACCTTCTGGGAATTTCCTGTGAGTCAGCGGCCGAACTTTCTCTTTCTCTTCAGGCCCAGAGTTTCCTGGAAGTGTGCAGATTAACTTTGTGTTTCACACGCTGCAGAAACACCTTGTTGTTTGGCTGGAGGTCCGTGAGGAGGAAACTAAATCCTCTCAGAGAGTGACGTCCTGAGGCTGAAGGTCAGGAGGGTCAACGGACTCTTCAAAGTCTATAGTGTTTAAATAAGCGGCAAAAATGTAAATAACTTTACAGTGGCTCAGTCCGTAGGGACTTGGACTGTGAGCCGTAGGGTCGCCGGTTCAAGTCCCCGAACAGACCTAAATATGGAGTGTGGACTTCTACTTGGAGAGGTCCCAGTTCACCTCCTGCCCTGCCGTAGTGCCCTTGAGCAAGGCACCGGAAAACTAGACTCCTGGTGCTAGACTTCTAGTACTAGACTACTGGTGCTAGACTCCTAGTGCTAGACTCCTGGTACTAGACTCCTGGTGCTAGACTCCTGGTGCTAGACTCCTAGTGCTAGACTCCTGGTACTAGACTCCTGGTGCTAGACTCCTGGTGCTAGACTCCTGGTGCTAGACTCCTGGTACTAGACTCCTAGTGCTAGACTCCTGGTGCTAGACTCCTAGTACTAGACTCCTGGTACTAGACTCCTGGTGCTAGACTCCTGGTGCTAGACTCCTGGTGCTAGACTCCTAGTACTAGACTCCTAGTACTAGACTCCTGGTGCTAGACTCCTAGTACTAGACTCCTGGTTATAGACTCCTAGTACTAGACTCCTGGTGCTAGACTCCTAGTGCTAGACTCCTGGTGCTAGACTCCTGGTACTAGACTCCTGGTGCTAGACTCCTGGTGCTAGACTCCTGGTGCTAGACTCCTAGTACTAGACTCCTGGAACTAGACTCCTGGTGCTAGACTCCTAGTACTAGACTCCTGGTGTTAGACTCCTGGTACTAGACTCCTGGTGCTAGACTCCTAGTGCTAGACTCCTAGTACTAGACTCCTGGTTATAGACTCCTAGTACTAGACTCCTGGTGCTAGACTCCTGGTGCTAGACTCCTGGTTATAGACTCCTAGTACTAGACTCCTGGTGCTAGACTCCTGGTGCTAGACTCCTGGTTATAGACTCCTAGTACTAGACTCCTGGTGCTAGACTCCTAGTACTAGACTCCTGGTACTAGACTCCTGGTGCTAGACTCCTGGTGCTAGACTCCTGGTGCTAGACTCCTGGTGCTAGACTCCTGGTGCTAGGCTCCTGGTGCTAGGCTCCTGGTTCTAGGTGCTTCACTGTGTGTGCTGTGTGCTCTGCCTGTGAGAACATTAAATAGGGTTTCATCCCTCCCATTCCAATTCAAATATTTATTTTCACAGGCAAAAACGTACTTTATGAAGGTAAAATAAATGAAAAAATAGATGTTTTTGCCCTTAATGAAGTTTCAGGTTTGCCCCAAGATTTACATATTTTAAAAAAAACAATGTCTTATACTTCTGTTCCTCGTCTCAAAGTGAACTCCCTCTGAGGCTGGGGCAGTGACATGAGGCCCTGGCAGAGGGACCTGTCTAATTCCTGGCTCTCTGTCTGTTTTATTTAACTAGCCGAACGAATTAATTAAACTTCTTCTTCCTCTTTGTATTTGTTTTTTATTCAACATGGAGCTCTTGGGCTGCTCAGCCCGTCGTTATGGAAACAGGAAATGTGTGAACGAGTTTCTCTCAGGTTTGTTTTTCAGAATAAAAAAACTTGAGGGGGAATCTGTATACTGGTTTAAAGAGATCTCTATCACACACACATACACACACATACACACACACACACACACACACACACACACATACTTTCTGTGCCACTTTCTATTTCTACTCCACTACAATTCAAAGGGACATCATGTCGTTTCACTAAACTACATTATTTAAAAAAAGGATGTTTTCATGTAGAGACGACTCCATTTCACTCCTTTGTTTACTTCAGGAACATAGTGACATCACGATGGAACACTTGCGCTCCAACATTGTAGATGATAGGCTTAGGGGCGGGACATCTCTAAGCTGGTTGACCAATCACAACAGAGTCGCCCAGCTAACCAACAGGCAGTTCGAGACATTAAAGCATGGAGACATGAACCTGAAAATGAGATTTCAGATTCTTATATGCAAATATTATTATCTTTAGTGTGTGTTTTAAATGTTCTTGTATACTCATTAGTGTGTGTTTCTTAAATAATTAAAGAACACAGTACCATCTGTACTCTTCACCTTGTCATTTAAAAATAAATGTTGTAGCTTTATGGAGGTGCGTAACAATACATGTGATTGAAAGCTTGTAAGATTTATTGTTTTGTGCATCAGCATCGAGTGTCTGAGCAGCAGGAGGTCGGAGGTCGGAGGTCAGATTATTCTCCGGTGAATAATATGTTTCTGCAGTTTTTACTTTCGTGGTGCTTTCAGTGTCCTGCCGGGCCTCCGTGACTCCTGACCTCAGCTGAGTGCAAGAGGACGGAGCGTTCTGCTGCGTCTCCTCATTTTAATCTGCTGGTATTTCCTGTTGCTTTGTTTTTCCTTCGTCAGCAGCTCCTGTTCAGACACCAGATCATCTTCTTTATTCAACGTTCACTTCAAAATCTCTGACCGTCGTTAATGTGTGGAAGTGTTGAGTTTTTTAATCTGGAAACCATCAAACCATCAAATACAGGCGGTGCGGACGGAGAGAGGGGGTGGGTGACAAAAACCAAGATAAAAAAGCCTTCACGTGTCAGGCTTCATGGGACCTGATATACAGGGAAGTAAACCTCGACTTTGACACCTTCTATTTTCTTTTATATTTAACGTTTTGTGTAGAAGTATTTATTACAGCGGCCCAGAAACTCTTCAGGAGAAACACGCTGCAGCTTCAGAAAGGATGCAGATAAAAAAAAAAAAAAAGGTTCCA